AATGTACTAAAATTAGTGGTTTGAGCTTGCGGCGGAAGGGGCACAACCTCACAGGTTTGAGCTCTTGTTGAAAGGGTGTAAAAGGCTTACACCAATTACAAACTCACTTTAATTACAAAAAACTTCGCCATTGAAAATGTTTTTAAACATAAATAATTTTTATTTATTTTTTTTTCATTATTTTAAAAAAAGATTTAGTAAAACGTATGATATCATAGATATTTATTTAATATCATATAAATATTCAAAATTTTATTTTTAAATTTTCATTTTGAAAAATCAAAGTAGTATAAAATTACAACTTTATTTTTAACAAATATCAACACTATTTTAGTACATTTAGAGAGTGAGCTATATGATAAAAAAATATGCACTTCCTTTTCAATTATTCTTCCTATATATATTAATAATTTATTATTATTTTTTATTTTTAGTAATTAAGATTTATTTACATTTATTAAAAATAATTATTTTTTACATAAAAAATAATGTAAATTTTAACTATTGAAAATGTAAAAATGAATAGTTGAGATTTTTTTATAAATATAATATATAAAATTTATGTGTAAGTAAATTCCTATTATATATATTATATTGATACAAGGGTTTTTTTATTTTTTTTTCATGCAATGGGGCTCCATAAATTTAAACATGATGCATTTAACAAGAGCTTGGCTTATGCACTATCTTAAAAATTTAGATTTGAAATTAAGGTTAAATTGATGTCACGCACTGCCTTCCTAATGAGCTGGTTTTTTATTTTATTTTATTTTATTTTAAAGCTATAATATAACATAATCCAACCTTTTCTCGTTTTAAAACTTAAATATAAGATTTTTAACATAAAAATATAAATTATTAATCACTAAAATGTCCCGTTAAGGATCTTCAAGTCTCGACTCACTGACATTAATCCTAAATTAGTAGGATCACCTCCATGAGTTACAATTTTTAGCCATACAGATTTCTTTCCCTTTATCCTCTCCTCCGATTGTAAACATGTTCCAAAAAAAAAAAAAATTCCCGTCAAGAACCTTCTAATGAGCTGTTTGCATTGTTGTGTACTGATGTAATGAACTCTTGAACTCTTGAATTCTTGATTAATCATAAATAACAATTTCATGGGGTTCAAAATATATATATAAAGCAACTAGTAAGTTTTTTAATAAAGAAAAAAAAAAAAAGGAAGAAAGTGTACACTAAAAAATAAAGAAGAAAAAAAAAAGATCTTTTAGGAAGTGGGATTATTTGACAAGGCCTTTTCTTTCTTCTTCTTCCCTTTTTTTTTTTTTTGGGTGAAAGTGAAAGACCCTCTGCTCTTCAATAAGGGCTGCTCCGTCTAGCGCTTTTGAATGTGGGACCCAATTTAGTAACCTACTTTATTCCAATTCAATCAACGGCTGAGAACACGTACCCAAAAAAAAACAAAAAAATTCAACGGTTCAGAACGATCCCAGTGGTCACAGCACCTGCTTTCCCTACTCTTCATGATTTCATTTCTTAAAAACTGTTTTCTTCCAGTATCCTGTTCTTGTTTTTATATATTCATCTTTCCCAATTTTCATCGTTTCATTATTTTTCGATTTCCACAAACCCTGATCTTTCCTATCTATCCCTTTTCTACGAAAAGATTAAATATAGCAAAAGATTTGTAATTTTGTTGATACAGAGGCAACCATGGTTATTGGAGATCTTCTCAATATCCAACCCACAGAGCTTAAATTCCCATGTAAGTGTGTGTGTGTGTGTGTTTTTTTTTATTCCACGGATTTTCTATTTTCTTTTTGGTTTCCAAGAAACTTGCAAGAAAAGGAAGCAAAACAGAGTAAAAGGAAAGCTTCGAGTATAGTTTTCTGTTTAATTTCATTATGTAGCCTCGTTGAAGATCATTTTGGTCTCTACCCATTTATGGGTATCGCAGGAACAGCAAATTGGTTCGCTTATTTTATCATGATTATGTTTAGCCGGGAATTACTTTTCTTGGATTCTAATTTGATAAAAAAAATTGTTGTTTTTGGAATTAAATTATGGTTGGTTGTTTCTTTTTTAGTTGAATTTTTAATGGGTTTTTGATTTCTTGTATGTATTATGTGGCATGTGATTCATAGTTGAATTGAGGAGGCAGAGTTCGTGTTCTATGCAGTTAACCAACAAGACAGAGAAATATGTTGCCTTTAAGGTAGAAATTTCCTTTTTCTTTTTAAAGTTTTTTGTTTTACCCCTGATACGCTAGTGCTTAGATGGTCCCTAACACCATAACAGGTCAAAACAACCAATCCCAGAAAATACTGTGTCCGTCCAAACAGTGGCATTGTTTTGCCTCGATCCGCATGCAATGTTACAGGTAACTCTATTAAGCATTTGCAGGTTTCATGGAAAATTGTTCCCCCCGCCCCACCCCCCTCTTCATTTCTCTTTTTTAACTTATCCTGTGTCTTTAATCAGTAAAAATATGGGTTCAGCTCTTTAGCTGCTTTATGATGGATATCTTAATTATTTTATTGAAAGTGTTTCTTCTGTTTGCTAAACCCTTTATTATGGTTGTGTTTTATGTTTTCTTAGATTTAGAGAAGTCCCTGTTTGTATTAGTTGAGTGCTACTTCTTAATTACATTTGCTTGATTTTTTTTCTTTGTTATGAAATTACTCTGGCAGTTACAATGCAAGCCCAGAGAGAGGCACCACCTGACATGCAGTGCAAGGACAAATTCCTTCTTCAGAGTGTTGTTGCCTCGGATGGTGCAACTTCAAAAGACGTAACTCCAGAAATGGTGAGGTTTTTAATTTTTATGATTCTGTCTTTATTTTGTTGATTTCATGCTTTCTGCTTTAGGTTTTTTGGATGTAAAGATGGAGTTTGGTGTTGCCTTGTATGCAGTTTAATAAGGAGCCTGGTAAGGTTGTGGAGGAGTTCAAATTGAGGGTCAT